ATTTCGCGTATATATAATATATACATTAATAAAAATTATAAAAATATTTTGGATACATAAATTTGTGCATGTATTTTATTATACATATGAATAAAATCGTATATATCTAAAACTAATATTTCAAAATGGCGATGGATGTCCAATACCTGCAAATAGTTTCTTAAAAGAAATTAAAAATTAATGTTAATAACTTCAGTACCTAGAAATAATTTTTTAAAAGAGAGACAAATTATATTAATTAAAAATATATTCATTCGTAATCATTTTTATCAAAAAATTAATAAAAATTAATCACAAATTATTGAAATGAAATATGAATATAACTATGAAATTATTTGAAAAATAAAAATTTATACACAACGCTACATCCATATTTAATCTACTCTTAAATCTTTGTGGCATTAGATAATATAATACCAATCCTAATAATGATAAAACATTTTTAACGAAGAAAAGAAAAGATACATTTCTCTCATCTATATATATATTATTTAAATAAATTCGACTTAAAGAAGCGTATGACGTTCGTCGTTGAATTATTATCAAAATCATTGCTTCGGAAATTGCCACAAAACCTGGGATTAGTTCCTTCAATCTTATAATAAAAATTCCCAATTTTCAACAGAGCACCGAACTAGAATGCGAATGGATGTCACAAGAACCGGTGAGAAATAATTCTCCATGATGAAAATCGTTTCGAGTCCTTGGCGGTACGAGCCACATTCATTAACGTTTATTTAACGGAAGGAACAATGATAACTCTTTTATTAAAACGACAATCTCGTCTAAGAACGCGAAAAGAACGGAAAAACACAGTGATTTCACAACCGTAATTTATTAATTTATTTATAAATATTTTCCGATACGAAATTCGTAAGTACAATTATAATTAAAAAATCAAATTATTAAATTCATAATAATTAACTCGCGATTCCATAATATCGAAGGTGATCGTTAAATTTTGCGAAGCTAATATTTAATCGTTGACTTATTACATCGAATCTTCACTCTCTTATTCGACATTTCTTTATATTTAATTAGAAATATTTAGGAATATTATGTGACGAGAGGAACAGCGATCAAATTCTTTTGTTAAAATGATAATCTTGTATAAGGACGCGAAAAGAATACGGAAAGAACAGGGTATTTTCGCAATCATATTTTAATAATTTATTTTAAGAATATCCGCGCGATATGGAATTCATAAATAAATAAAGATAACGGAAAGCATATCATTAAATTTATAATAATTGACTCGCGATTTTGTAACGAAGGCGTCCGTCAAATTTTAAAATGCTTATATTTAATCATTAATTTAACATCAAATTTTTACATTTTATATAAAAATTTTCCGAATTTATTAATGACTCTTTGAAATGAAAATACAAACAGTTACTCTTTTATGATTATTCCAAAAATATATACTTCAGAAACAAATACTTCAATTTAATGAATTACTGTTATCTTAATTACTATTATGTAATCATTATACGTATACTTTCGATAATTTTTCGTGTAATTTATATAAGAATTTACAATCGTAAATACAATTTCATATAATATAATTATAATTATAATTGTATTGTATTTTACAATTAAAATATCAATGTTGGATTATAATTAAAATACAATTATAACTATTTATAATTTACAATTTACAAATTTATGATGCTATCAATATCAAATAATAATATTCGATTTATTCAAATATTTAATAACATTGATATAATAATTTGATATTGATAACATTAACATTTGGATTTAATATTATATTTGATTTAATACACATATATTTTTAAGTTTTAAAATAAAATATAGCATGTTTTGTTATTTCTTAAACGTTAATAATTATGCAATTTCTTTAATATTTCTGAAGATAAGTTTGATAATTTAAATTTCACTTTTAAAACAATTTTATTTTTAAAACATGTTATATTTATTTTTACAATGTTTTTAAAAATATATTCAACCTAATTGAAATAATTTTTATTAGAATTATTGGAATATTAAAAGAAAGAATGAATCTTTCTTAATAGCCCTAACAATCCTACTATTATAGAATTCTAATTGTTCAGGATTCGCCCTGAATTTCAAACGAAAATATCACCCCCCCGTAATACTGGCGCCATCCGTGCGCGCTAAATCGAACTCACAAATATAATTCCGTACGGTGTTTTTTCGAAATCAACCAGGATCCGCGTGATCGCGTAATAATACATGGTCCTGGCCAATTAGGCATCGGAAAATCACGTGATTTGACGTACCTGAACAGGATAGGCTCAAATCAGATCATCCAATACGCAATCGAGCCTTTATTATCCGGGAGAAAGGCTCTCTCCCGCTGAGTCACTGTTGAATCCTACCTAGTCATTGCGAGAGTCATGGAAAGTTAAAGCGAAGTCATTGTTGAATCCTTATCAGTGTCGAATTTTCGAGCAGCGAGAACCAAGATTTTGCAAGTGCTTTTGAAACATTAAGACTTGCAAAGCGCGATTATATTCAATAGACAAATTCTTGTATCAGATATCGTGACGGATCATTGGACAATTCATTTAAAGATAATCGATTCCGTTCAACACGTTCTGAGCGAGAGTGCCGGGATTCATCGGAGCGCCTCCACTCTAAATTAGAGGTGGAGCCTGTTTCTCATTGAGCCTCCGCTCATTCGTCGAACAGTGGATCGTGCGATCTCGCTCGCTCTCACAGACAGCCCGATAGAGCGCTGTCTCTCTCAGTTTCGCGTCAAACCGTGGAAAGTGCGGTCTCGCTCGCTCTCACAGACAGCCCGATAGAGCGCTGTCTCTCTCAGTCTCGCGTCGAACCGTGAATAGTGCTGTCTCGCTCGCAATCACGCGGACGACTGAAAGAGCGCTGTCTCGCTCGCTCTCACAGACAGCCCGATGGAACGCTGTGTCTCTCAAGTTCGTGCGTGCACCCGCGAATAGTGCGGTCTCGCTCGATCTCGCGGACGGCCGCAATAAAGCCGTCTTGCTCGCTCTCACAGACAGCCCAATGGAGCGCTGTGTCTCTCAAGTTCGTGCGTGCACCCGTGAATAGTGCGGTCTCGCTCGATCTCGCGGACGGCCGCAATAAAGCCGTCTCGCTCGCTCTCACAGACAGCCCGATGGAGCACTGTCTCTCTCAAGTTCGTGCGTGCACCCGTGAATAGTGCGGTCTCGCTCGCGCTCGCGGCAATAGAGCGCCGTCTCGCTCGCTCTCACGCGAACAGCTGATAACGCGCTGTATCATTTATATCAAGTGAACAATTGTATAGTACGATTTCGCCAAACCGAGTACGAATCTCGACGTGCTCAACTATTCGAAATAGAGTCGCATACGCATCGAAAGCTCATAACCTTGTACATATCGTGTATTTTGCGCAATAAACTTATCACCACTCGTATGTGGATGTCACTGTGGTATAATCAAAGGAACAATTTTACGTTATTTCATCCCGTCACTCATCCAGTGCGAAATCACGTGATTTGCAAACTCACGATACCTTCTCGGGTGTGTCCCGGCAAAATAAAATCGCAATTCAAAGTTGCGATCCCGAACACTAATGATCTTAAGAGTCCTATCAACCCTAATATCAATAGAAGAATTCTAATGATTTTACTTAATAGCCTTAACAACCCTACTTCCTGATTAACTAAAATTATTCGAGATTTGAGGAACCTATCTCTAATCATCACCTCACCTAATCATGTATATATATTTTAGTCACGTACCCTAACCGCGTGCCTTAACCACGTGCCTTAACCGCGTGCCTTAACCGTAGGTTCTTTAGGCCAGTTGAACCCCCTTTCGTTGATTCTGGCCACTTTCTTTCTCGATCTCTAATCAGAGATCGAAGAAGGAGATAATTACTCCTTGTTTTGCCGGATAATTAACTTATCACGCCCATATCACGGTGAGCGCCGTCCAGATTCGATTAGCCGGGCTGGAAAAGTGCTAGCTTTTGAAGCTCAGCATGCTCTGCTCCGATCACAGCATCGAGACACGATTGGTGGGTCAAACTACATGAAGAAAGACTTCATCGCCGTGGTTGAGGAGGCTTACCACGTGAACAAGGGCATCTTTCTGGATTACGTCGATCGGATCAGCAGCCCGGTTATCTTGACCGTCTCGGAGCCCGGCGAGTCTCCTCCTCACCGCACTACTTTGCCTCGAATCCAGCTGCCTCTTCTCTGGCAAGTATGAAGAATGGTCGTCGTTTCGGAACCTCTTTCAGTCCATCATCGGACTAGACGCCTCTCTTCCGTCCGTGGAAAAGCACCATTACCTGAAGGCGTGTCTGAAAGGGGAAGCAGATGTGTTAATTCGGAGCCTTCCGACTACGGCCGAAAACTTCACTCGAGCTTGGATGATGCTGAAAGATCACTTCGAAAACAAGAGGCTCCTCGTGCGCACTTATTTGTCACAATTCACGGCTCTTCAGCGCAAAGGGCGAATCCGCTACAGATTTACGCAAGCTGTATCTCAACGTTAGGAGCACCGTCGGTGCTCTCGAAAGTATGGACGGAGCTGACGGCCTCCGGAGGCTCCCCTCGCAGTGCTGCTTGCGACCGCGAGAGTCCGAGTCGCCGACCGGTTCGGCAAATTCCATGCAGCCCGGGCCCTCATAGATCCAGGTTCGGAATCATCTCTCATCACTAAATCTCTCGTTCAGCGCTTACGACTGCCTCGGAGCTCGGCATCGGTCGCTATCTTCGGCGTCGGCGATATTCAGACGGGGCGCTCGCGTGGCCTCGTTTCGGAGACGATCACGCAATGGAAAGGGGAAGCCTCCCTTGTATCGGCTCTCGTCTTCTCCAATCTCACCATCTACGAAGGAAACTTCCGAGCTAATCATCAGGCGTGGCGCCACCTACACGACCTTGACCTCGCCGATCCCGATTACCTGGCGGCGAATCCAGTTGAGCTCCTGCTAGGGGCCGACGCTCATGATGCCATCATCTTGGACGGCCTGCAGAAGGGAGGACCCCAAGAACCGGTGGCGCAGAAGACGACGCTGGGCTGGATCATTTCTGGATCGGTCAGTCCCGCGACTCCCTACGGACGATCCACTTCTCACCTGTGCCAGGTTGAAGAAGATCTGGACTCGCTCGTCCGTCAGTTTTGGCAACAAGAGGAGCTGCCGGTGACAGCCTCACTGCTGACCCCCGACGACCAACGTTGCGAGGACTTCTTCCGCACAACTCATACTCGCACCTCCGAGGGCCAATACGTCGTCCGACTGCCGATACGAGAATCCCTGCCTGACTTGGGGATTGCCCGATTAGACACAGTACGATTAGACACAGCCAATTATATCGACCGATGCCTAGGGTAACCAGCACGATCAAGCACGATTAGCCAATCAAAGCCAGTTGTGTTCAATCATACTGTGTCTAATCAGAGGTGTATCGCCTGACTTAGCCTCCACGCGCCTTGCCGCTCTCCGTGTCCTCCGAGGGATGGAGAGGAAGTTCAGCCGAGACGGCGGCTTCCAACAACGCTACCAGGAGTTCATGCGTCAATACGAGGAGCTCGCGCACATGACTCCGGTGAGTCAGGACTTGTGAACAGCCGATCGTGTTGCTACTTCCCGCACCACGGAGTAGTCCGGGAAACCAGCGCGACTACCAAGCTCCGCGTCATCTTCAACGGCTCAACGATCTCGTCATTCGGTCACTCTCTAAATCAGTTCCTGATGGTGGGACCCAACCTACTGCCTCCGCTTGCCGACGTCCTTCTGCGATAGCGATTGCATCGCTACGTCTTGACTACAGATGTCGAAAAGATGTACCGCCAAATACTAGTACACAACGAAGACCGAGATCTGCAACGGATCATATAGCGTTACCAAGGAACTGACGAGCTCACGAACTATTAGCTGAACACAGTTACTTACGGTCTGGCTTGTGTGCCCTTCCTTGCCATGTGCACGCTCCATCAACTGGCCGACGATGAGGAGGCCCGGCGGGGCCACTGGGCCCCGCGTCCACTGGGCTCCAGCGTCTTGCGTCAAGACGTCTACATGGATGACGTCCTAACTGGTGCGCCCTCGGTTGAAGCCATCCAGGAGCTCCAACGGCAATTGACAAGAATTTGCAAGGCGGGCGGATTCCCGCTACGCAAGTGGTCCGCTAACGACGACTCGCTACTGACAGGCATTCCCTTGGAGCATCGGACGCAGCGCGAGCCTCGGGCTTGGCAACCTCACAAAACACACACGACTTTGGGCTTGCAGTGGCACCCGCGCACGGATGACTTCTCATTTTACACCCGCGACATCACTGTGACGGCCATCACCAAAAGGTCAGTGTTGTCGCTGACCTCCCGGCTGTTCGACCCTCTTGGATGGTTGGCTCCTGCGATCGTGAGCGCCAAGATCGCATTCCAAGGGACCTGGCTCCTGAGACTGGCTTGGGACACCCTCCTGGATAAAGAGTCTACCCGCTTCAGGAGACGATTCCCGGATGAGCTGCCGCGTCTGGAGGACATCAGGGTCCCACGCTTTGTTCACACGTCGCCTTCCCGCGCTGACCCCGAGCTTCATGATTTTGCCGACGCCTCTGAACAAGCCTTTGCCGCAGTCGTGTACCTGCGGCAAGCTACCGATGCCTTTTGGGTCATTTCGCTCCTGGCCGCTAAAACGAAGGTCGCGCCGCTCAAACAGGTCTCTCTACCCCAGCTGGAGCTTTGTGCCGTACTATTGATCCGACTAGCCACACATTTTCGACGCATTCTGGGGCTGCCCGGTGCTTCGCTGCATTTCTGGTTGGACTCCACCGTGGTCCTGAATTGGATCCGGGGTCATCCAACTAGATGGAAGACGTACGTCGCTAATCGAGTATCCGAGATCCAGACGACGGCTCCCGACGGCTTATGGCATCACATTCCCGGGCCTCAGAATCCTGCGGACTGCGCGTCTAGAGGCCTATCACCAGCTACTCTCGTGGGACACGACCTGTGGCGAGGCCCTCCCGCGGCTCGTCACTACCTCCTCAGCATGGCTCCTGATGCGCTGCCCGCTTTGGACGATTTGCCCAAAATCCAAACGACCTCTCAGCGCTGAAGTCACCTCCTGAAGAGCTCGACGAACTCGTGCGGTTGTCTTCCCTCAACCAGCTGCTGCGCGTCACATCTTGGTGCCTCCGATGGTCGAGGCGGCGAGGAGCTCCGCTGGCAGCTAAGTCCTCTTCAGGGCCCTGGGGTTCTATCCTGACGGCGGATGAGATGGAGGAGGCGCGGCTCTTGTGGATCCAGCGAGTGCAATCCTGTCACTACAACAAGGAGCTTCAGTCTTTGCGTCAAGGCCACGCGCTTGATCGAGGTAGCAAATTTGCCCAATTACACCCTTTTTTAGATTCCCTGGAAGTCCTGCGGGTAGGAGATCGCCTCGAGAACAGCCTTCTATCGGATGACGAGCGAAATCCTGTGGTGCTGCCGTCTGACTCCCATTTTTCCCGATTGGTCGTCCAGGCTTGTCATCTTCGAACTCTTCATAGCGGAACGCAGCTCACGCTCGCGATGGTGCGTCAGCGTTACTGGATGCCCCGAGCGCTTGTCAAGCGGATCATTCGACAGTGTGTCACTTGCACACGCTGGCGATCGGCTGCCCCGCAGCAGCTAATGGACGATTTACCTCGGGTGACTCCGGGAAAGCCCTTCCTGGACGTTGGGATCGACTATGTTGGACCCGTACAGCTGCGGACTGCTCGAGGGCGAGGTCACCGATCCTACCGGGCTTTCATCGCGATATTCGTTTGCCTACGCACCCGGGCCGTCCACTTGGAACCGATGTCCGACTACACCACCGACGCGTTCCTTGCAGCCTTGCGTCGGTTCACCTCCCGTCGAGGACTTTGTTGGACGATATGGAGCGACTGCGGAACGAACTTCGTGGGAGCGGACACCCAGCTACGACGACTCTTCGCTGCCAGCAACCCGGAGCTACAGCGGATCCAGGGCGAGTTAGCGTGTGATGGCATCCACTGGCGATTCAACCCGTCGTCTGCCCTACACTTCGGTGGAATTTGGGAAGCTGCCGTAAAATCCATGAAGCACCACTTACGTCGGGTCATCGGAGACGCCATTCTTACCTTAGAGGAGATGGCGACCCTTCTCTCCCAGGTTGAAGCGTGCCTGAATTCCCGGCTCCTCCAGGCCATGACGGACGACGCTGAGGACCTCACCGCCCTGACCCCGGGGCATTTTTTGATCGGTTCCGTCCTCCTCGCCGTACCTGAACCGTCGCTGGCGGACCAGCCTGTCAGCCAACTTGATCGCTGGAGATTGCTGCAGCGGATGCGGGACCATTTTTAGAAGCGTTGGGCCAGAGAGTACCTCCATACTCTCGCATATCGATCCAAATGGCAAAGAGAAACGAGGTTGGATATCGGTCGTCTCTGCCTGGTTTGCCAGGACAACACGCCATCTACCCGATGGCCCCTGGCTCGCATAGTCCTCACTCATCCCGGCGAAGACGGACGCGTGCGCGTTGTCACCGTCCGCACTGCTGGCTCATTATTGAAGCGACCGATCGCCAAGCTCGTCCTCCTACCTGTCTGCGAAACGAACTTACCAGACATGACAATTTTATAAAACCAAATCAATTTGTAAAACCTTGTGAATAATTTGCGTGATTCAAGCATTTGGTAATAATTACCTGTGCGAGCTACTCATAGCTAACCATGTCGTGAATCCATATCGTTGATCACACGTTCACTTAATTCACGATCTTAAAAAAAAAACTCGTCGCTATTCCTGCCTTCCTTGCATAGCCTTTCGCCCGAAGCTTCGGGCAAGGCGGGCGGGATGTTCGAACTCAAACAAAGAGAAGGCGGGGGCGCGTTTGCGCGTTTGGCGCTCCTGGCAACCGTTAAACGTATATCGCTTTGTCTGAAATAATACAAACAACACTCGCCCTTCTGGAAAGATCCAAGATTTAATAAATAACGCGTTAGACAGTAAAATTCAAACCAAGTTCAGTAACAGTCGAGCTCTTGAAAAATCGGAATCTTTCAGAAGGACTCGATTATAAATTAACGCGCCCGGCGAGCGCGGCTCGTTTATTGCTCGAAGTCTTCGACGCGCTCTTATCGCTCTATCGATCTATCGCTCTTTAAACGTTTTTCCGTTGCGGATTTCAACGATTCAAAGCTCGGTGCTGATTTTCGATTATTTTCGGTTCGAAAAGCATGGATTAGTGCGCCCGTGAATATTGTAATACGGAGAGGACCTTTATAAATATATGTATATATCTTTATTAATACTTCTGGTGTCTTCAATTTCCTCCTCTGAACGTCTCGTTCTCGCATCTCGCTCACGCCTCGCTTATTTGTCCATGTTATCGTGAACAATTATAAATTATAAATTATTAATTAAATTATTTATATTTTTATTTATATTATCAGAGAGACATATACAGGGTGGGGCATTTATCTTGAGACAAGATAATATCTCGATTGGAGTCGATTATTTTGAAAAAAGTTTTAGACAAAAGTTGTATGGTTTCAAGGTGGACATAAGATGGTGTTATTAGTTTGATCTTGAAGAGCCACCTGAAGGACACGCGAAGGTCAGCTCCAACTTTTTAAATGGGACACCCTATATGCTTTTGCATATTCTTGTAGCTCATCTCAAGAGCTTTCCAAAACACTATAATTAAGTTAGTTTTCATTAAGTACTTTCCAAGTTATGAGGCTTGAAATCATTTTTTAATTTTACATAAACCGTAAAATATCTTGTAAAATATTCATTTTTCGATTATTTTACTTTAATACTTTTATGTACAAAATAATGAGAGGAATCAATTGGTGTAATGAAAACATACAGTTGTTTTTAAGAAAAAATATGTAATTGTTAATTGCAAATTACATTTTTTTTTTCGAAACAACTATGAGTTTTCTTTACACCAATTGATTTTTCTCATTATTTTGTACATAAAAGTATTAAGGTAAAATAATCGAAAAATGAATATTTTACAAGATATTTTACGGTTTATGTAAAATTAAAAAATGATTTCAAGCCTCATAACTTGGAAAGTACTGAATGAAAACTAACTTAATTATAGTGTTTTGGAAAACTCTTGAGATGAGCTACAAGAATATGCAAAAGCATATAGGGTGTCCCATTTAAAAAGTTGGAGCTGACCTTCGCGTGTCCTTCAGGTGGCTCTTCAAGATCAAACTAATGACACCATTTTATGTCCCCCTTGAAACCATACAACTTTTGTCTAAAACGTTTTTCAAAATAATCGACTCCAATCGAGATATTATCTTGTCTCAAGATAAATGCCCCATCCTGTATATCCTCTGAGAACATTCGTGGACATTGGCTTTGTAGTTTATGTTCACATTTTTAATGTCCATAGAGGGAGTATCGCTTCCAGGGATTACCTAAAAGCAGGCCGGAGAGCGGACTTTTCGTTGAACGCGGGAGTACGTGCCTTTTGGCAAAATTTGGACGAAAATCTGTTCTTTATAATTGTGTGAGGTGTTTCTACCACCTGAGATTTATCTACATGGTTCCTTTCGATGTTTTCTTTTGAGATTTCACCGCTCTCGGCTAGAGTGTGAGGAAATATTTAATACTAAAAGTAAAGAAATAATAGATAACCTTAATCCTCCTTCTCAAGGCGGGAGAGATAACTCTCTCCCGCCTTTAAACTTTAGAATGTCTCAATGTGTGAGCGAAAAAATGGAAAGCGAGTTATCTGATATGCAAAATATAACGCATGATCAAGTGATGGAAATAATTTTGGATAGATCAAATCTTAAAAGGCAGTATTCAAGTACGTCGGAGGATTCCACTGCGTTTCCTATGTAGGACCAAATAAAGGATAAACCAGTGACATCAACTAAAAGTGACTCAAAAAAATCTAAGTCAAAGAAAATAGTAAATGTAGATTCGTCACAGGAAGAATCCTTTCGAAAAGCACCCAAATCAGCAATGTTGAATACTGATAATACGATAAACAAGAGAGGAAATACTCAAAATAAAGTTCTCGACTCGGGAGACAATACAATAACCAATAATCTTTGGTATGACCGCTATAATAAAGGTCCGTTTATTGTTTTTGTCAGAAAAATTGTTGATAACAAATCTGATCAGATTCACTTCTATAATTGAAGCTTTTAGGTTATTAACTAAGGCGAATATCAAATTTAAAGAAATAAAGCATCATGCTTGGAATACGTGGAAAATTTCTTTCAAGTCTTTCTAAGATGCAAATTCTGCCATCCGGAATAAGCTTATATCGGATTTGGGATTAATTCTATATATTCCTAAATACAAGATTTTTAGAAAAGATGTAATCAAAGGCATTCCATTAAATGAATTGCAAGCCACACTGGAAAAGGATAACTCACTGCTTCGATTAAATTACATATTCAGACTGAAGAGAAGAGACTCTGTTACAAATAAATGGATTGACTCTCAGTCAGTCTGTCTAGAATTTAAAAGTCAAGACCTTCCTAGAAACATCAAACGCTGGAAAGTCAATTTATTTGTGCATATGTTACTCCTGTAAGAAGATGTTACAAATGTGGCAAGCTGGGTCACACCAGTAAAGGGTGTGAACAAGAACAAAACATATCTCAATTGCGGGTTAATACACCCTATATCTGTAGATATTCCGTGTAAGGGATCCCCCCAGTGCATCAACTGCAAAGAACCTCATCATACCTTAAGTAGAGGATGTCCAAAATTTATATTTAATGCTGAAATTAATAAAATAATGGCATTTGATAATGTCTCTTATCTGGACGCAAGACGTACTCTCTTGAAAAAAGAATCAAAGTGAAATCCACCTTGTTAAAGATTCAAGGAACTTTCCAAATCTCAATCCAAAGATAGAATCTTCAAAAACGCCGTCTTTTGCCGATATAATCAAGAAGACTTTTCCGACGACGATGTCAGCTGATCTTTCTTTAAAAATTAAGGATCTTCTGCTACGGATTTCTACTTCTCCGGATGCTGAACTTATCTTTCAAAAGATATCCCAGCTAGTTAATCTGCATAATAATTCTCAACGAAAAGACGATCTACAAACAGATAGTAAGAAAGTAAATGATTCGGTCTCTTAGATTAGTTCAATGGAATGCGAAAAGTTTAAAAAATAAAATTAATGATTTGGTCTATTATAGTGCAGATACTGATGTTTTCGTAATTTCAGAGACTTGATTGGATCCTAGAGATCAAATTACTTGTAAAGGTTTTGATATTGTCCGTAAAGATCGACAGGATAGGAGGGGGGGCAGAGTGCTAATTATGGTGAGTTCAAATCTAAAATATAGCCTTATTGAAAATATCCTGGATTGTCAAGGTAATCTGGAGGCTTGTGGGATAGAGCTCTTCCTAAAACAAGATAGGATGTCCATTATCTCAGTCTATAGACCTCCGACCGCCTCACGAATAAATTCTCGTATGTGGCAAAACTTTTTTGCTAATTTTCATGGAAAAGTTTTTATTGGTGAAGACTTTAACTTACCTTCTGATCAAATTATTCCCTTAGAAAAAGGAATCTTAGATCTCGATATTATAGTACTAAACGATGACTCCCGTACTTTCTGGGATGCAGAAAGGGATCATTGGTCTAAACTCGATTTATCTCTTGCTAGTTCCTCATTAGGAATAAAAACATCATGGTTAGTTAACCAAGACTCTTGGGGCAGTGACCACTTTCGAATTTTCATAAACATGAATATTTCTGTGACTCCTAAATCTAAAGTTAGAAGATCTCCAAAACTATATTCTTCTAAGACCGATTGGGCCGTCTTTTCTGAAAATATGGAAAAAGATATCAAGTTACATAAGTATACATCAAATCTTTTAGCAATTCATGACATACAACCATTATACACATCATTTACTTCTATTATAATAGATAATATAGCTAAAGCAACCTCTTTTAAAGTTCTTTCAGCACAAGGTAATACGAATAAAGACAACAAATTTTCATAAAAAGATAATTAATTATCTTATACTAGGCTCCCTGATCAAAATTCTCCTACATTAGCTAAGAAAAAAAATACCTAGTCCCTGGTGGAATGAAGTATGTGACGTACTCATCCTCGAACGTAAAAAAGCATTAGATAGATTCAAAACACATAAAACAAGAACTAACTTTCTGTTATATAAAAAAGAAGTAGCAAAAACCAGGATTGGACTTAGGAATATAAAAAAAGAAAATTTTAAATTTTTTGCGAAATTTAAGAAAAGATTACGACTCTGCTTAGGTGTGGAGGAAAGTTAGAGTTTTTAAAAATAAAGCTACTCATTCCGAAACGAAAAACTGCTACAATAAACAGGCAATACATAAT